CCCCAAAACCCCAAAACCCCAAAACCCCAAAACCCCAAAACCCCAAAACCCCGTAGGAAAACTATTTAAATGAAGCAGTCTGTGGCTTTATAATAATAAAGATGAAATTTATCGTATTCGTTTTGCTCGTAGCCGTCGCTTTGGCTGAGGTCCACCCAGTCAACGACGACATCGTCAGAGAGATCAAGGAGACTGCCACCTGGACCCCAATGGAGCCAGAAGAGAACCCATTCGCTTACATGTCAGTTGAACAAATCAAGGGAATGATGGGAACTAAGCTCAGAGTCTATGAAGACACCAACGAAGAGATCACTGCTGATATCCCAGCTGAATTCGACTCCAGAACCGCCTGGCCAGGAAAGGTTCACAACATCAGAGACCAGGGAGCCTGCGGATCCTGCTGGGCCTTCGGAGCCACTGAAGCTCTCTCCGACAGATTCAACATTGAGCACGATATGGATATCGTCCTCTCTCCACAACACCTCGTATCCTGCGACAGATCCAACTACGGTTGTAACGGAGGATACTTAGACAAGGCCTGGAAATTCATGAAAGATACCGGTGTTGTCCTCGACTCATGCATGCCATACACTTCTGGAACCACCGGAAAGGATGGAGAATGCTTCACCCACTGTACTTCTGAGACTGATGATGAATTCAGAAAATACAATTCTGACAAAGCCACCATGACTAGAAACGTCCAAAAGACCCAGCAAGCCATTATGGAAGAAGGACCAGTCGAAGCTGCCTTCACTGTCTACCAAGACTTCATGAGCTACAAGGGAGGTGTCTACAAGCACACCACTGGATCCATGCTCGGAGGACATGCCATCAAAGCTATTGGATGGGGAGAAGAAGATGGAACTAAATACTGGATTATGGCCAACTCCTGGGGAACCGGATGGGGAGAAGAAGGTTTCTTCAGAATCGCTATGGGAGACTGCGGAATCAACAACCAAATGACCTTCGGCCTCGCTCATAAGAATTAAAGAATCTGTTATTCTAAATAACTTGTTCTAGTAAAACTAGCAAAAACTTATTTGTCATGAATCTTTTCTTATCTGACTTTATTTAGCTCTTTAGTTTGAGATCTAATCAGCCCACAATATGTGCCGGCTTTCCTAATATCAGCTTGTGCTACTTTTGGGGCAGGCAATATCCCAGGAATTGCTAATTTAAGTTGTCGGGCATCATTATGAAGTTGCTCAAATTTCTACCATTATAAGTTATATCGTCATTATTATCGGGCAAGCTCATCAATTATTTCGGGAAAAAAGGGGTTTTGGGGTTTTGGGGTTTTGGGGTTTTGGGGTTTTGGGGTTTTGGGG